TTTTCTCCATGAATTTAAGTGTCCTTTTAAGTACGTCAATAACATTTTAAGTTTCTTCATGTAAGTCTTGACCATTTTTAAAGCCTTTTAGTAATATTTAAGGTCTTCGGTTGTTAAAGAGCTTAATCTCCTTCATAACATTTATATTTAAGTTATCCAAACATAAGCTATTGGTTTTGTTTATTTATTTTATATCCAGAAACTTTAGGGAACACTTAGCAGTGTGTATGTTATCTTTCAGTTGATTTTAACTTTCTAAAGTCTCATTAAATGGGATCTGGCCAGGGGTCCTCTTTATTGTAGGGTGTGACTTAAGAACTTAAGAGAATACAGTCAAAGCATGACAATGTTTATGGAACATTGTACACTGTGGCTAGTCTTTTTCTGTCCCACCAGCCAGCTCCCAAATCATGACATGAAGACTTATTATTAATTATGAAAGCTTGGCCGATAGCTTAGGCTTGTTTCTAACTAGCTCTTATAACTTAAATTAACCCATATTTTTAAATTTACATTTTTGTACATGGCTTGGTTACCTTTACTTTACAATGCCCATGCTGCTTGCTCTGCATCTCCTGGTGTCTCCCCCTTTTCTCAACATCCTCTCTGCCCCCCAAATCCTGCCTAGCTATTGGTTGTTCAGCTCTTCATTAAACCAATCTGAGTCACACACCTTCACAGTGCACAAAAAGACTATTCCACAACAGTACTCTGAGGGCAGACTAACTATGGTCTGGCTCCCACTCCTGAAATATGTTAGTTAAGTGTGCTAACTAGTGTATGGGCAGGGGCTCTTATGAGATTGTCTAGTGTTCTGAGATATCACTTAGTACTCCATTGTTTAATCTCTGATGACAAATATTTGTGAATTCTGTATTGTTTATGGAGATAGGAGAAAGGCTGGATTTTCAATTGAGCTTGAGGCATAGTTCCTTGTTCCAGCAGGGGCATATGAAGAACACAGAGGTACACTTGAATTGCCTTTAAGTAGATGGTTAAGAATTTGTGAATTCAGGGACTGCTAACTTTTTTTTTTTTTTGCAGCCATCCAAATAAAACATAACTTCTTATCTTGAGCGATTCTGTCTCCTTGGAATTTACACCTGTTTTAGGCAACTCAAACCCCTCACCCCTAGGTAGGTGTAAGGTGGTCTGTCAGTGCCACCTGGTGGTCACCTGGGGAACCATGTGAACTACCCTCAGTTGTCTAGCTCTTGATGAACCTTGGCTTTTGGAATGTACTGATTGGTTAAGCTAAAGCTAGGTCCATATATACATTTAGAAGAGCAACGGCATTCATCCTTATGGCAAGATAAGCTTAATCATGAGCCTCCCATCAGTGCCAAGGTCTTTTTTTTGGGGGGGATCACTTTTATTTAAAAATATTTCTAGGTATTTGTTTCTGCAGCTTGCAGCTGAGATGATTCTACGTAAAACAAATTCTATCTCATATTTCCTTTTCCTTTATATTTTCCTTCACCCTGATTTGTTCTTTCTGGTTCATTTTCCTTTTTCCTTTCTTCTCTGCATTTATTCCTCTAGTTTTTTTCCCCAGAGTGAAGTATTTTATTACAATTTTCCTTTACAACTATTGTATAGTTTTGTAATCTAAATTCAGAAACAAACTAGAACCAGAAACATTTCTACAGAGACTATCTCATAGGTAAGTACACATGTATATAACTACATAAAAGAATAATGGGAATAGGAATATATGAAATAGATTTTCAAAAAAATACCCCTTTCCCATAAAACCGCTCAGGAACTGTTTGGTAACTACAGTCCTAAAGTGTTAAATTAGACAGGATGTGCTGGCAAGGAGCAACAATACAATCAGTTGTGACACAGCGTGTCTGTCATCCTTGGTTGACCACCACAGAAGAGAGGAGACTACACAGGAGGCCCACTTAAAGTCCAATTCCAGATAAACATCGTTACAGTTTGAATATGAAATGTCCCCCACAGGCTCATGTGTCGAGTGCTTATCCCCAAGGTGGTGGCACTATTTCAAGAAGTTCTTGAAACTTCAGGGGGTAGGATCTCATTGGAGGAACTCGATCACTGGGGCCATGCTTCTGAAGGTTGTACCCAGTCTCCTGTCACGTCTCCTTACTCTGCTTGACTCTCACAAGGGGCATAGCTTCCTCCTCCACTGTACTTACCTTTTCTTTTTAAATTAGTTCTGTAAGAACTTCATACATTGTATTTTGACCATATTCACCCCGTTACCCAACTTCTTCCAGGTCTACCCATTTCCCCACCCACTCAACATTGTGCCCCTATTATATTTAACCCATAGAGTCTGACTTGTGCTGCCTATGTATTTTTGTATATGTGGCCTTCCTCTGGGTCATGGTTGATCTGCTATGTAGATATACTTAGAAAACTGATTCTCCTTCTCTCAGCGGTTGTCAGTTTCCAATAGCTCTTTAGCTAAGGGTGAGGCTATGTGAACACCTTCCCACCTCCATAGTGGGAATTTGCCTGGCTGGAACTCCAGATCTTGTGCATGTTGTTACAACTGCTGTGAGCTCATATGTGTAACATCCTTCATGTGCAACACTCTTCCAATTCCAGAAGACACTGTTTCCTTGTGTTATCTACTACCAATTGCTCTTCAAATCTTTCTGGTTCCTCTTCTGTAATGATCCCTGATCCTTGAGAGGAAAGAATGTGAAATAGATGTCCCATTTATGGCTGAGCATTCAGTCTTTGGTTCCCTGAACCCTGGCTGGTGTTGGGTCTCTATGTCAATCATCGTCTACTTTAGAAAGAAGTTTCTTTGATGAGGGCTGAGAGATGCACTAATCCATGGGTATGAGGATAAATCATTAGGAGTCAGTTTAATACTAGGCCATTTAGCAGACTAATAGTAGTAGACTCTCTGTTAAGGCCTATGGTCTGTCTAGCCACAGGTTCCTGGCCCTAATAATTATGCCAGGTATGAGTTTTAACTTGTGGAGCTGGAATTAAATACAATCAGAAGGTGGTTGGTTACTCCCATGACATTCATGTCACACCACATGTTTTTTCCAGGCTGGTCTTTAATATAATTATTTAAAGTTCACAGATGGGTATGACTGATGATTATTTCCCCTCTCTGGTAGTGTGCATAATACCTTCCAACACTATGAAAGCTAGCCAGTAAGGATGAAGCTTTCAGATGAATACCTATTGATTTATCCACTCTGTCGTTATTCTTGATTTCTTAGGAAAACATTCTTTGTCTTTTTTATCCCTTTGGGAGCTCAAACATGGTTCTAACTTAAGTTGATAAGCCCATGTCTGCAGATATTTCTTACTATGAACTTGGAAGGCAAAACCTGTGAAATGAAGAAACTCTGCAAGTCCCTGGAAGGCACGGAAAAATCCCTTTTTACTTACTGTGGCTACAGCCCTTCCGTCTGCTCTTCATAATTGCATTTGGTGCTGCTTTCAAAACACTTTATCTGTTTGATTTATTGCTATATACTCAACATTGAAGACAGCGCCTGGCATATAGAAACAGCTCAATTGATGTGGTCAACCCTTTGTATTGTGATTTCTCCATCAGTAGATGCAGTCAGCCACAGATTGCATGCCAAGTGATTAATTGTATCTGTCCTGAACAAGTACAGACTCACCTTCTTGCCAGGATTCCCAATATACTATGGCAACTATCTACACAGTGTTTATTATCTGACTAAATGTTATAATTCATCTAGACATGATTTAAGTCAAGGAGTGTGTGTGTGTGTGTGTGTGTGTGTGTGTGTGTGTGTGTGTGTGTGTGTGTGTGTGTAAGTAGGTTATGTGATATTTACATAAGGGATTTGAACAACTTTAGTGTCTGGAGACCTTAGAGCCAATTTTAGAAATGCTCATACTTGTTGAAGGAATGAAGAAATAGATATTCATGGTGAGTAAACAAATCTGACTTGTTCATTTTTACTGTATCTCTGTTTTGTAAATGATGTAGAAATACTAATTTTCATAAAAAAAGATCATGATTTTGAAGTTCTGTGAGATAACTTAAGCATCAGTGGTGTTAGCAGATTGAGAACTTTCAGAAAAAGAGCTGTTGGTTGGAAAGCTGGAAATCCTTCTTTTCAGGCTTTAATAGTGGATCTTCCATACTCATAATGGGAGCACAGACCCATCAGAATCAAGACCATTAAACATATAGAGAATAATTCCAAACATTTACAAATATTAAGCCTTTAGTCAGACATCTCACCATTTATGTTTTTGTGTGTCTGCCTTGTGCCTTTGGCATTGTAAATTTCTATAAAAGAAATGCAGACCTATTCATTATCTCTCTAGAAGCACACACAGGGATGACACTGCATTCGCCTATTCTTCATGAGGACTGTCCCCTTTCTTGTGGTCCATCTCAGAACTGGAGCACAGAGCAAGCCTCTTTTAATTTCAAAGAATGTTCCTCTCATGGTGCTGTTTGGTGAGAATTTTATGGCAATAACAAAATAATCACTTTCCACTCCTGATTCCATTTTCAAATTCTGAGAGTCCTCCAATGCCTCACAAATCTCTGATCATACGGACAAACCTCTGCTCTGCTGCAAAGGGGACAGTAGAAGGAATGAAAAGCTGGCCAGAATTAAGACTGTGGAGACGAGGGGGCGTATAATATCAGGGTGACAGACCTTCACCAGGCTGTGAAGATGTGCCACAACGTTTGCACATGAGGAGGACTGCCTTAACCCTGGCTGGTTTTAATGGTGATGGTCATGGGAAAGTGCAGGCATTTCACATTTACCTCCTTGGCTGCACTGGTCGTCAGGATCTACAAGGTGTAAGTAAACCATTGGCTAACTTTACCAAAGGGCATTTGAAACTTGGCATTTCCTCTGTCTGACTGCATGGCCGGGAATAAAACAGGTAAGGTGTGAAAGCCCCCATTTACCTTTCTGCAAAATGGAAATAATGGTCCTATTGGGCGGCCAGCACTTCGTGGCCAGTGATGATTGTATTCAGTTCTTATCTTTCCATCTCTCCGCTAGGTACCTTGGGATCACAAGACCCCTCACATACCCGGTGAGGCAGAATGGGAAGTGCATGGCCAAAATGATCCTGTCGGTCTGGCTTCTCTCGGCCTCCATCACCTTACCTCCGCTCTTCGGATGGGCTCAGAATGTGAACGATGACAAAGTGTGCTTGATCAGCCAGGATTTTGGCTACACGATCTACTCCACCGCCGTGGCATTTTATATCCCCATGTCGGTCATGCTGTTCATGTACTATCAGATTTACAAGGCCGCCAGGAAGAGCGCGGCCAAACACAAGTTCCCAGGCTTCCCACGTGTGCAGCCGGAGAGTGTCATCTCCCTGAACGGTGTGGTGAAGCTCCAGAAGGAGGTGGAAGAGTGTGCAAACCTTTCGAGACTGCTCAAACATGAAAGGAAAAACATCTCCATCTTCAAGAGGGAACAGAAAGCAGCCACCACCTTGGGGATCATTGTGGGAGCTTTCACAGTGTGCTGGCTGCCATTTTTCCTCTTGTCCACAGCAAGGCCCTTTATCTGTGGCACCGCCTGCAGCTGCATTCCGCTTTGGGTGGAGAGGACATGTCTGTGGCTGGGCTATGCAAACTCTCTCATTAACCCTTTTATATATGCCTTCTTCAACCGGGACCTGAGGACCACCTACCGCAGCCTGCTCCAGTGCCAATACCGGAATATCAACCGGAAGCTCTCTGCGGCAGGCATGCACGAGGCCCTGAAACTGGCTGAGAGGCCCGAGAAAGTCGAGTTTGTGCTGTAAGGTCATTTATCACTACCATCCTTTTGTGCCCCAACCCCTTTCATGCGGTTTCTTGAATGTTGGGGAAAGCGCCCCCAGTCAGTGGCTAGCATATTCCCTACCAGACATCAGGTGTGAATTCAGAATACTCTTACTCACTCACATTGAGGTAAAACAAACAAACAAACAAACAAACAAAACAAAACAAAACAAAAAACCAAAACCAAAACAACCAACCAACCAAACCAAACCAAACCACAACAATAAAAAACCCATGGTAGGTAGGTATTTGAAAGGGCAGAGGAGACCGGTTTTCTGATGAATTTCATTTTATATGACTGGTGGCATACAAGGTGGTATTCTCCATTTCCTTCATCATAAAGAACATTTCAGTTATGTCTGTCCTTGGATCTGAATTCCTAGGATATTACCATCTTAATTGCTTTTGTACTTTCATGTGGCAAAACATATTTGGTGATCTCATAGTTCCCAGGGAAATGCCTCTTTTGAGGAAGAAATGCCTCCTTTGATTTTTCTGGTATGGAACTGAATCCATACAGGAGATGGCAAGTTGGGACAGAGCACTAGTAGCCACTGAGCTGTCACGAAGTGCTTCCTGTCTTGGTATCCAAGAACCGATTCCTGCTGGAGTTGACCAAGTTTTGATGTTGTCTGGGACACTCAATGGGAGTTGAGATCTGAAAATGTGCTACAAAGGGCTAATGGTGATAAGGACTTGGGAGTTTCACAAGTCACTCACATATTAACAAATTTGGCGTTGTTACAGAGGTGAGAGGCAAGATAGCAGGGTGGCCAACAGGTAAAATGAAGACTTTTTTTTTTTTTTTTAAAAGAAAAAGTTACATAAAGGAGATTTGACCACTGAGTGAGAAAAGAATTTTGGGATGAGATCATAGAAGGTTCTGGTGGCTGAGATGTTCCTGTGCACTGAGGAATGGGAATAGGAAAGAACAGAGCAGAGAAGCTTGAGGGCTTTCCCTCAGAGGGACCTTCTCTGTCAGCTTCCCTAGGCAAGTGACATGTTCTTCACTAATGACCCAGCTAAGTCTAGGTCCCACATAACCTCAATCCTAGGCCCACAAGTCTTCTAAATACTAGAGTGTGTTTGTCTTAGAATGGGAAATTGTTAGAGTATAGCTCTTCTGGTTCTTGGGCTGGGGCTGGCATCACAGTGTTCATTTCTACTTCTGTTGTGTATACTCTGTTGTACATATGAAATCGTTCACAATACAAAAGGCTTCATTAAAAAATTAGCATGTGACATCAGGTTCTAGAACACTCCTTATAAGCAACCCCTAGGACTTTTCAAATCTAGATGATCCCACTGAATTGAGTATTTGCCCCCCCCCCCCCCGACTGTGAAATTCTTAGAGAAGGAGCTACATTTTAGATTCCTGTTTGCATCATCTATGCCAGTGCTAGACAGGTGTAGAATACCAACGGCAGTATCTGCCCTGCTACCCAGTTCTCAGGGAATGAACTTGTGGCTTAGGGTAATTGATACAGGATAATTGACTTATGATCGCATAGATAATGTGGAATGAATCATCCCAGTGCAGGTGCCCTTAATCGTCCCATCATTCTACTTGTTAGATGAATTCAGTCTGAGGTAGTGAAGAGCTACTGAATGGTAGAGCTTGGAACAGCAGACACCAGCTTACTAAGAAGGCAGCTAGGATGCTGTCCTTACTCTAAGTGAGCTGAGTTTGTTAGACATGCTGAATGGGTGGGAGGGTCCCATCTGGACAGAATCCTAGTCATTTCTCAAATATAGGCAATTAAGCCAAGCCATTGATAGGAGTTCTAGGGTGTGGACTGGGAAGTGTGAAGGTGAACCGAAGACAGCTGTAGATTTCTTGATAAAATAGCTTTGGATTAATGAGTATGGGAAAGTGAAGGATTTGGTGAGTAACCTATTTTAGTTGGTGTACTTCTGTATGCCCTGGAAACAGCTATTTTTTGGGACAAGTTGTCAGGTTATTTTGCTTGGCACCAGGTTTGTTTGGCCATAAAGAGGAAAGTGTGTTCGTTTTATTTCTTAGGAGTAACACAATGAGGAATGTGTTTGAGGAAAGTCTTTGGAAATGGTGTGGAGGGCAGACACCAGTGTGAGATGGGGGTGTGGGTGTGGGTGGGGGTAAGGGGTGGGGGGCAGGAAGTCTCATTCAGTAGCCAGTGTACAAACTACTAGAATGCAGATGATGTTCTGATCATCTCTCTATTTACAGGCCTCTGAGGACTTGTGGATAATTTTCCTGATTAGTTTATCTAATAAATTCACAGGTAATTCAGGTATAAGAATAGTAATTTAAAAAATGTGACATAAACAGCTTTCCCTGTTTGAAATAATAATAGCTCACATTGACTGAGCATTCATTGTCAGCCACTACACTGAGAACTCTATGGGAATAATACCACTAAAACTTCAAAAATTTACAATGGGCTAGTTTTCTCCATTTCCATTTTGAAGATGATAAAACAAGAGCTTGGCGAGATTAAATCATTTCCCCACAGTCCTTCAGATAAGATTGATAGAGTTGGATTTCAGCCCAGGAAGCCTGTGTTCAGAAGTGCTTTTAGTTTCATGCTACTGTACCTTTTATAAAAATAAATCAGCTCAAATAAAGCACAGGATGCTTGCCTGTCTGTCCTTAACTAGTGTGGAGGCTTGGGTGTTGTTTCCCCTTAGTCCCAGACAAGGGTCAGCAGACTTACATGGTAAGAGACCAAATGATAGTATTTTAAGCCTTTGAAAACTCTCCTTGCTACTGTCATCCACTTAAGTAAACAAGAGGACATGGGTGTATATACCAACAAAACTTAATTTACAGAAGAGATGGCCAGCTGGATTTGGTCCATAGGCAATAGTTTGTTGTCCCTTGATTTAAGAGAGAATTACTGGGCCTAATTACATCTCTCTCAGTTTGAATTTATAACATGTAGGATATGCAAATCAGTTAAGATTGTTGGCCTAAAAATATCCATCAACTTTAGGATGTATTTACTGTTAGAACTATTGTATGGAGTTCATATAGCAGCCATGTTTGAACTCTATACTAGGCAGTTTTGCTGTCAGCACCAATGTTAGAATATTCATTCTCAGTTTTTTTTATAACTTGCACACACTGTGGCAGAGACATAAAATGTGACATCATTTTTGCTGTTGTGCATGTATTTCTACACAGAAAGTATATGCAGATGAAGTCCAGATAGAGTCCAGAAACATATACTTTTGTGATCATACAGAAGTACAGAAAAATCTTTTGTGATCTGAATGTTTGTCCCCCGCCACCCCTGACAAATTTATATGTTGAAATACAGACTCTAAGGCAGCAGTATCAAAAGGTGGGGACTCTACGAGGTGACTAGGTCATGAGGGCCCTTATAAAAGGGAACAGAGGGAACTGGCCTATGAAGGAGACAGAAAGCCTCACAGATACCAAATTTACTGGCTCATCAGTTATGGACTTTCTAGTCTCTAGCAGTAAAGGACATTCTCAGAAACTACCACTTTATGGTATTTCATTGTAACAGCACACGAACACCCAGCTTTGTTTTGTAATGATGAAAGTCACAGGTAGAAAGCTGTGTCAGTCAACGGAGAAGAACATGACTTAGCTAGTGCTTACATGAATGCTATCAGAGAAGACTTCCTGAAAGAAAGGTGAATCTTTGAGGCTAGTCAAAGCATTTATAATTAACAGTGAACAGAGGGGCATTCCAGGTAAAAGGGACATTTATGTAGAGCCACCAATATAGGAGTTAATGCAAAGGACAGACCAGCCAGAGCTGAGACCTAGACTAGTTTCCGGAGTGGGAAAACAGTTGGAGATCAGAGTAGAAATGACATAGAAAGTGTTACTAATGATCTATGCTGGTCCCAAGATTCTGGACTTAAAGTGTAGGCCACGACTCTCAACTCAGAGGAGTCATTGCCTCTTCTCCTGCAGATGGTTGACAATGTCTGGAGATACTTTTGGTTGTTATTACTGGAGTGTGCCTCAATGTTAACTGTCATCTACTAGGTGTAGGTCAGGGAGGCTGCCAGCTATCTTACAATGCACACAGGGGCCTCCTGCAGAAAAGACTTACCCAGCCTATAAGGAAGAAGCTTGGGAACTCTGATGTAGATGGTAGTAAGCCATCCATATTTTCTGTAGCTAGGGATAGAACCATCAAAGTAGAGGACATTGGCTCAGAGACATGGTCTAGGAAGACTCAGAAGGTGGAGGCTGGATGTAGAGTCCCTTCTCTGGTATTACTAGAAACACTGGATGGCTTTCTGTGCCTGAGATACAGCACCAGGCATGGTTGGGGTAGAAAGAGGATGGTGTAACAGTGTTCACCTTGGGAAGTTCACACTCACTGTGGGTTTAGGTACTGTTGAGGTCAGTGACACTTGACCATGAAAGACATATTGGAGTTAGAACCTGCATGGTCCACAGTTACATTCAAGCAAACACTAATTAGAAAGCTGCTAATTGATTTGACTAGACATATGTAAGTCTCATGTTTTGCTAACTTGTTCTTTGGTATTATTAGGTTGGATGATATTTGGGGTTATAATTTACTGAGTCTGAATGGTAATCTGTCACTGTGGTCTCTAGAAGAGTGACAAAAGACATCCAATCCGCAGCTCAGAGCAAAGGAGAAATCATCTTAGACTCCTACTTTTCCAGCTCCCTCACACATCTGGTGGCCACCCCTAAGGACTCTGAGAAACTCCCTATAACTTCTCCTGCCTTTTTCTTCCTATCTGGCTGCTTGGGTTCAGGCCTATGTTATTTTGCTTCTTGTTTGGCCCTTCTTGACTCCATTATTTTTTTTCTCCTACACTTCAGTTTCCTTGTTTCTCTGTGTGTTGTCACTTCCAAATATTTACCCATTTCTTCCCACTTTCTTAATCAGCCTAACCCAAGCTTCAGGAGTCCAGCAGGCACTGGAGAATTTCCCTTGGGGTAACGGAGTGAACACAGGGAAAAAAGCTGTGAATACTGTTGCACGGGTAATTTGAATTCACTGCTATCAATTCTAATCTTTTCACCATTTCTCAAATGTTTAAATAAAGGCAATGACAAAATGTAACAACGTGACATGAGCAAGGTTCCTTTCTTTCTCTTTAATTGGATGATTTCCCTCAGAGACTTGAACTGCCACAGATTGCTTTTAAGTATCTTGCCACAAGGACTTGTTCTTGGGCATCATTTATGAATAGCATGGAAAGGCAGCTTCTAAAATACTTTGCTCTAAAAGAATATCATGGAGTTGTTTTGAAGCAGCTCTTCTTTTCTGTCTCCCCTCTTCTCCTTGGTGATTGTATTGTCTTCATCTTCAAAGAGCCTCTTAGAATCCCCATCAATTGCAGTAGTTCTCGGCAGTGACTCATCGCAGAATAACCTTGGGTTTCTGCCATGAATTCTGTCAATTTGTCACTCCAGGCTTTAGGCTGCAGCTTTGGAATTCAACCTGATTGCATGCTTTCTTTGTGGAAAGGGGTAATTTTAAAGAAACGAACTAAAGTACATCCCGGGGAAACTGGGAAGAAGCATCAAGGCCCCTGCAACCCTGAGTGTCTGTGATGGGTCCCTGCCTTAGCGACAGAAGCAAAAAAAAAAAAAAAAAAAAAAAAAGAGTTTGCTGTTCTCTGGACATATACCTCGCAGTGAACAGTGATCTTTTCTTCATCATTAATTGCCCGAAGTTCAAGTTCAGTGATTTGCCTTCATTAAATAATCAACTAGTAATGACAATGGTTTCTTCGCTCCATGCTTTACAGTTCCCCAGAGTTTAACTTTGAAGTATCTTAAATCAGGAAGGGTGTTGTTCTATGTAGTGTTTTATGTAATGCTGAGGATCAAAGTCAGAAGCCTCACGCATGCTAAAACTCACCCACCGAGCCCCAGCCCGTGCCCTGCTCTCTTCTACCACTTGCTTTTGCTTCTGTTTTTCCTCAGTTGGTAATAAATGCAGGTAGCACAATGTAAAATCAAACAGTACAGAAAAGTACACAATTCAAATAAGACTTGGGGGTATTCTTAGGAAGATAATTTACATGGTAAAATCATGAAAGAAGTGATATCAAGGTAGTAGGGTTTAATAAGAAGAGATGGGGGGCTTAGGATAGGGGTTGCTGAAGGACAGTCCAGTCCAGTGATAGCTGTTGGTGGAGGTGATCAGGGGACCTGGAACATGTCTTCAGTGATATCAGGAAGTTGAGTAGGTTGGGGTTGTCCCAGGGAACCAGGTGGGTTTTTGACAGGAGTGATACTAGGCTGTAGTGGGCATGATGGAAGGAGAGACTATACCATTAGCAGTAGGAATGTGTGCTATAAAACTAATGTAGATGTGAGGTCTCTGCCTGGGGAGACTATATGTTCTATATGAAGATGGCATTGACGATAGGAGAGAGGCTAATGGTATCTGAGCAGTCTGGGACCTGGGACCCTTAAATCATCACCATGGCTAACAGGTGGGTGGTGAGAGAAAGATGGACTCTGGAGATGGTGCTGGACTGGAGATGGAGCCTGGGGTAGAGTTTAGGAACTGGTGGGAGCAAAACTGAGTTAGAGGATGCTGGCTGTGTTCCTTCCACCTGGTTGGAAGAACCAATGGTCCCAGGATAGAACTGTCTCCAGAACTTCGTTAGTTGAGGACACAGCTTATTTCCTGTGTCTGCTCCAACCCATGGTCAGTTGAAATACAGCAATTGTTCTCAGGCACTATTGAGTTGAGAGTCGAAGCCGGAGATTGTGTCTTATGGAGAAATGGATTTTATCAGCAGGGATATTCAGTCATTGTCACACTTATATGAAGGACTGGACAGAGAAGGGAACTTGAGATAAATGGATTCAGATATAGGGACAGTGTAAGTGGGGCAGGGAGGCTAAACTGGAAGCATACATAGTCCTGGGCCTATGACTGCCTAGACCATCTCCTAAATATAGTGCTCATGTGGTAAGTCAAGGGCTGTGAAAATGTGGCATTGTGGGAGTGTGGTTCTATACTAGGAGAATGGATACTTTCTCAGTTGTTGGCCGAAGTTTCTTTATGGCCCAAGACACTTCTGTGAGTCTAGAAGACAGGCCTGGAGGGAAACAGGATTCTGATTTCTGTGTAGGTCAGTTACTAGGATATATATTTCTAGGTTTAAAGTGGGTGAAGATTCTCAGTGGAAGTAACACAATTTTTTTTGTGTGTGTGTGTGTGTGTGTGTGTGTGTGTGTGTGTGTGAGAGAGAGAGAGAGAGAGAGAGACAGAGAGAGAGAGACAGAGAGACAGAGACAGAGAGACAGAGAGACAGAGACAGACAGGAGACAGAGACAGAGAGACAGAGAATATGCTCTGTACTTTGAACATATTGCCCCTTATTCTTTCTTAGCTCTCTTTAGCTAAATGCATTCTTCTTTTCAAGTCCCAACCCCCCCCCCACTTTCATGTTTGTCTTTTCGTGTGAGAGACCCACTGCATCTAATTAGTGTTGCTTTATTGAACATTGTTACTTGAGAAAGGGCAAATTTCCACTGGCTCTACTTCTCCCTCGGGTACTGTTTAACCTTATGAGGCTCCCCCCTCCACTCCTGATGGGATGTTAATGGACCCAGCCTTGTGTAGGTGACTAAGCCTTCTATGAGTTTATGAATGCAATAGCCATGCCATGTCCAGAGGACGGGTTTCATAGCCCTTTCTCCCATCTTCCTGCTTTTATATTCCCTTTCTCCTCTTCTTCCCTGTCCCCTGAGCTTGGCAAGAGTGAGATAGGTGTGTCACATAGGGCTGATCATTCAGTGGTCAGTTATTCCCAGCACTTTGGCTGATTATGAGTCTGCATTAACCATTGTCCTCTGAAACAGAAGCTTTTCGGACTCAGGCTGACAGTAGTACTAACCTATGGGTAACATAACTATTTAAAAGGCAGTTTGAAACTATGTTCATTTAGTAAAAAAAAAAAATTAATAATATAGCTAGATCCTATGACCTCCCAAGCCATAGTTGATCAGGTTTATAGGAATAAATTCCCTCCTATAGTGAAAATCTTACCAGAAGGGGATTGGTTATCCCCACAAACATCATGCCACCATATCACCAGTTGGCACATCTTGTTTGGTAGGTAGTTACTATAGAATGAAGGATTCATAACTAGGTAAGACTGCTGATGACTTTTCTTTACCAGCAGACTGTGTAGTATCTTCTGGCAGTAGGAAAGCTAGCCATCAACGGGGAATTGTTGAGGTCAGTTCCTGTTTGATTTCAGCCAAAGTATGTGGTATCTTCAGCACAGTCTTATCATCTAGTCTTGGAAAGTAACCATGGAGATGGCAGTAGTCTGCATTGCTTTGGTGCCTCTCTGGCTTCCCCACCCCAAACCTCCCAGGGGTGTACCCTACACTGGCACTGGGATTTTCACTTAATAACTTACAGCTTTTCAGAGCAGCTGTCTACATACATGCAGGGTACCTTTCTTCAAACTCTTTTTTAAAATTGTATTTTAATTGGCTTACAAAATAGATTTTCTGTATGGCTTTTTTACATCTTTAGTTTGGGCTTAGCCTTCCCACATCTCTTCTCCCCTCTTCACATCTCACCCTTGTTTAAATCTTTCCAACCTTGATATTGCCCTCTCTATTTTCATACTGTCATTATTTTTTTAACAGTCATTATTTTCAAGTAGGGAGAAGATTATACTATTTTGCAAAGATTTTAAGTTCTTTTGAAAGCAAAGCCATTTTTCGATACATCTATATTATATTTGGGGGCTCATTCTCAAGTATATTACTAGGGGCTTGGTAACTTACAGAACTTTTGACATTTATGAAAAGAGGCACATTATATTTTCTTTCCCATTAGAGATGCTCGTGAAACCTTATAAATCACCAATGACTGAAATCACTGACTGCCATAAAAAAGATAAAAAAATCCACCCACCACAAAATATGAAAATCCACACTTATGATCTGGCTAATTATCTTGTCTCTCTCTCTTTTATAGACAAAACTCTGACCACTGTAGAAAAAAAGTTCATGATACATGATCCAGAGTGGAATATTGGAGATGAACAGTGCAAAGCAGGTGGAAACCAGGAAATCATTGGCTGAGACTTCAAAATGGAATGTGGCTTCTGTCTTCTTGGCATGGCTGAAATGGAATGGGGTGATCTGTTGTACAAAGTGTATTTTGGGGGAGATGGCGACCTCTCCCTTTTTTCCCCTGTGGATCAGTGATATTGTGTTTAAATGAAAATAGTTCTCGGTCTCAGACAGCCATCCCGGCAGTAAGCACACTAACAGAGCTGGGTTCCGGGAGGGAAGCAGTTTCTGGTGCTTTCCACAAGTCCACATCCACGTGAGTGGGGGAAAATCCTAACGCACAATTCCCATGCTTCCAGTCTAGGCTTCGTGGTAACTCTTCAGGAGTCATTCATGAGGCAGAATACATTCTGTGGTCTGACAGAAGGGTGTCTTTCCAAGCAAACTGCAGTAAGCATAGTGTTGAATGTATTGCATGTCCACGTTAGAAAACAAAAACTTGTCATCAGCTAATACAAAGCGATTCCCCAGAGCAGTGTCTGTCCAGAGCTTTTGTCAAATACTTTGGCTTTTCTGCAGGGTCCCTGTGACTTCCTACCAGTGTATGTCCACTGTTAAACCCTTATCATTGTGGTGTAACTCAGGAACAGATCTCAGGATGGAGAGAGGCAGAAAACCTGAATAAAGCTTTTCCTTGCACTCACACTCCTGAAGGCTCCTGGGAGAGGACGGTAACGGAGAAGAGTGAGTGCCACCTAACTGCATTGTATATTAACATGATTCTCGGCATGTTGTTTACTATCATCTTCTACAAGGGGGCAAGGAGTCCACAGGGCTGGTCTATAACTGTGTGTCACGAGGAAGGAGTGTGGCGATGGCATATCCATGAATGGGTGCGGTGCTTCTGGAGACAGCGCAAACATGTTCATCCAACTGGACTGTGTGAAGCAGAGGTCACCTGGACCCCTGCTGTGAAGACTCTAGAACATCATTCTGTTTCATGTAGAGAATTTGTCTCTGTGTTCTCTGTATCTTAAATCAAATGTGTGCCTGATGAATTCTGTCCTCTAAACCCCTCCCTTCAATAAAAATGGTCAACATTAAGGACAGGTAAGGAGACAGAAAGGGTTCCTTTGTGGATAGCATCCTTTAACACTACACTATGTGTGGGTGAAGGAGATGGAAGGGAATAGATCAGAAGAGTATCTATGTCTACAAGGGGGAAATGAATGCAAACCTTTATTTAATAAAAAGAGAACTGAAAGAGAATATTATTTTCCTACAATTAAGAAGGCTGTCCTCTCACAGGATACAAGGAGTTCCAACAATGATTATGGACTTCTTCCAGCTGTCACTGACGTTGTTTATTATGAGACATAGGGAAGGGCCCCTTTCCTGTGAAGGGGAGGTAGGCATTGTCCTTTCAGACAAAGTGTGTACAAATTCCTGAGCCGCAGATTTGCTAGAGTGACCGTATATACTTATATTCATAATTTAAATAACAATGATGTCAGATACATGTTGTTAAATTTGAAAATGTTTTATTACATTACATCAAATAAAGGTTATTTGTAGCTGTAATAAAGCAACCAAAGTAATTGTTTTTAATAAAAGGTCTGATGTCATACATGTTACTCTACAAAGAACGGTGGGGGCATACTCTGTGCTTGTGCTTGCTAAGACCCTAACAGGTAGCTGGGAGTGCTGGTGCACACCTGTAATCTTAACACACAAGAAGCAGAGGCAGGAGGACCTTGAGTCTGAAGAAAGTCTGAGTTTACATCTAGAGACACTGTCTAAAAACAACAACAACACAACCTAACAAATAATTGAGTTTTGTACTAAATTACATTTCAATGTAGGAATTTATCCACTTAGTGGCCTTTACGTTTTAAATCAAAGAGTGTTTGTTTGTTGATTGGATGAACACTGGCCTCTTGCTCCAGTCCGGATTGTCAGTGCTGAGAGGGCAAAGGCGGGAGTGGAGTAGTCCTTACTTGGGAGGAATTTGTCCTCAGGACCCCAGCAGCCATGTATCAGGCCATCAGTGAGGAACAGAGCACTGTAACAGGTTGCTGAGATGGTTTTCTTTCTTGCAGCACACGGCAGTACCTTATGGCTAGTTAGTGGCATTAATGCAGACTTTGTGTTTGCTTAATTCACTATTCAAACTAACTTTTTATCCCGCCTGATGTTAATGCCTGAGTGTCACACTCTGCCTCACTGTAGCTGCAGGGGCTACCTGTGTGCATTGCACTTGAGATGCGTGGCAGGCAAATGGAAGGAAAAGGCAGCAATCGAAAGGGAGGAAATGTCCAATAATTAATCTTTCCTGTATGATGTAACTTGTCTCTGCCAAAGGCACAGCTTTTGTTTTAACAAAGAACTGAGAGAAGTTATTGAGGTAAACATTGTCCTTATAGTTTATGACTGTTTGGGCAAGAATGAGTGATGATTAATCTCTCACTTTAGGGGATCAGCTGTCATCTTCTGGCAAGGCTGAGCACTGGGAAGCCATGCTTGGGAAGTGAAGTGCTTGTAAGAGACACTGAGTCACTGTTGCCTCTCTGTTTAGCTTTATTCAGTAAATATCAAACATGGTACTCAGGGTTTTCCTGGGCTTTTTGGAAGCTGCATCAGACATAAGTCTCCAAGCACTTACGTGGTGTCTTGTCCATGAGAAGCCTGTTTATGTATTTGATAATCATATTCTCATATAGTTTTATTAGACTGATTGTGGGCATGAAGTCACCAATCTGTGTTAAAAATTTGCATTATTTTTTCAAACAGTTGGTGCAAACACAATAATTGTTTGAATTCCCACCTGGAGATGGTAGAACTTTTCCTTTCAGCATTTTAGTTGTCAATCAAGTTCTCAATGGAATGGATACAAATGTTTGTAAGCCTTGAATTATTTTAAACAGTTGATGATTTTTCTTTCTCAGGATCTTTACACATGCTCTCCCTCTGCCCAAGATGCTCTTCCTACTTTCCATTATTCACTAGTCATGTGTCTTCATCATTGTTTTCATCACCGATGTGGTGGCTTGGCTGAAAATGGCCCCCATAAGCTCATAGACAGTGGCACTATTAGGAGGTGTGGCCTTGTTGGAGGAAGTGTGTCACTGAGGGTGAGCCTTGAGATTTCAAATGATCAGAACAGGCTCAGTGTCTCTCTTCCTACTGCCTGGTGATCTGGATGAAGAACTTGTAGCTAGAGTTTTCCTGGTCCTGCCTAGCCCATGGTCAGGACAAATCTCTCTCACTCACCAGTCCCGCAGCTGCTCAGACCCGACTAAGTAAACACACAGAGACATATTACTTATAAACTGTATGGCTGTGGCAGGCTTCTTACTAACTGTTCTTTTTCTTAAATCAACCCATTCCTATTAATCTATAAGTTGCCACGTGGCTCGTGGCTTACCGGTATCTTAACATCTTATCATGGAGGTGGCTGGCAGCTCTCTCTGCCTCAGCCTTCCACTTCCCAGAATTCTCCTCTCTGCTTGTCCTACCTATACTTCCTGCCTGGCTACTGGCCAATCAGTGTTTTATTTATTAACCAATCAGAGCAATACATTTAACATACAGAACATCCCACAGCAAGAACTCTTAGCTACTTTTGGAGCACCATGTCTGCCTGTGTGCCACAGTTCTTCCTGCCATAACCATAATGGACTAAACTGCTGTAAAGCACCCCGATCAAATGCTTTCCTTTATAAGAGTTGCTGTGATCATGATGTCTTTTCACAGTAATAGAACACTGACTAAGATAACCAATATGCCCCTTTTATTGAGCAACATGTTAGGAACATATAGATGGTAGGCATGTAATACATGTTTCTTAATGGGAAGAAAGAAGAGAAGGATGGAGGGGAGGAGGAAGGGGAAAGAAAGGAGGAGAGGACTACAGTTGATTTGGCATTTTAAAATATTTTTACCAGAAGAAGTGAGATTTTCAATGTTGTGACCTGCCCAGGGAGGAGCAAGTAAGAAACTCCTGTTAAGTCTTCTGTGTGTATCCCAGGGCAGGCCTCCACTGCCCAGTACCACTTGTTTATCATGACTTACTCATACCAAGAGAGTGACCTTTTCTCAATTTTCTGCACTGGTGGAGCAGAGCTGTGTATGTGCTATGGCCCATATGTTGAGACTTGTTTATCTACAGCTAGCCAGATGGTCTTTAACAGTATACATAGAAGCCATTTGGAAACTTACAGTGGGTCAGCACAATCTGAAAACACCCCAGGAATGCATATCGTGGTGTCCTTACTTGCTCCAAGCTTAGAGTGAGAAATTCCTTGTTCAATATTATGTGTAAATATTCAGCCTTTAAAAACCAGCTCAGAAAAACTCTCATAGAATGGAATTTGTTTGGCTGGTGGCTCTTTAAATTGGAATTGTCTACATGCTAGAGAGAAAAATGTTTGCTTGTTTCTTTCCTTTTTTCATTCTTTCTTCCTTGTGGTGCTAGGGACTGAACTCAGCACCTTTTACATACTAGAAAAGCATTCCCTAAACATCCATCCATTAAAATAACTTCTGAGGCTGGAGAGAAATCTCAGTGTCTGAGAGAGCTTACTGCTCTTGGGGGAGGACCCAGGTTCCATTCTCAGCAGCCTCATGACATCTTAGAGCATTCTTTAACTACAGTTCTAAGGGATTTGATGCCTTCTTCTGGCCTCTGAGGGCAGTGCATGGATGTGATACACATATGTAATACACATGCACACATACATACATACATACATACATATACACAAGAACTCATACACATAAAATAAAAATAAATCTTTAAAAAGAATTAATTCACAAATAGCATGGGGAAACTTTGATAAAGTTCCAGTTTTTAAAATATGCTGTGTAGTGTAAGCTAACAGATGTGATATGATTATCTATAAAAACATAACTGTGTAGTGTGTATGGTGGGAGCTGGGAGGAGGGAGAGGTTGGCAGGTGTCAGTAGGTTTGGAGATGAGAGTCATGCTGTAAAGGAATCACACCTGTGCTATGGAGAGAAATAGCGAGGGGCAAGGGAATACCTTTGATGTGTATTATGGAATACTTTTGGTGCCCAATTATCCTTCTTAATTATATCTTGATTAGGCTATTATTGAAATACTCTTCATTCCACAAACCCACACAGTTTCACAGTAGGAGAGGAAGCCAGCTGTAGATCTAATATGTTTTGGATTATTCACCAAAGTGAATGATACACCTGTAGAAAAACTAGATATTACTAGAGCCACAGAGGACCACAGAGCTGAAGACTCTCCTGGTTGGCCTGATTCCACCTGTACTCTGCTGTAGATGAGAGATGGCTCTCCAAGAGCTGTGCTCTGTCTGAATTTGTTTAAAGGAGAATGGAATATACCATCACTTCGCCAACTGTCTTAGATGAAGTGTTACATAGCTTTTTGGTTGAAGAATAAAACTGAACTCTAAGGAAAACTGAAGTAAAAAAATACAGTATAAACATATGATTTTAACAGGCAAAAACACATTTCAGCAGATTTGATGAGAACAAACATTACATATAGAGAAGGAAAAGAATCATAGAAATTGACCATTGTTTTCACTGAAAGTGAGTAGTGACTGGATTGGGGTAGTTGAGCAGGTTCCCCCGTGTAGAGATTACTGTAGTGTAGTCATAGCTTGTACAGGGCACTGGGTTTGCAAAGCATTCTGGGATGAGACCATCCTAACAGAAAAGGCTCAAGTCAGCAATATGAACAGAGAAACTGCTTACTCCAACCATGTTGGAAGAATTCTTTTTTTTTTTTTTTTTTTTTGGTTTTATTATTATTATTATTATTATTATTATTATTATTATTATTTTA